GGTAGGCCAAAAGGCCAAGAGAGAGGGAGGTAGGCCTAGCTGTGAGCCTAGCTGGAGGTGGTTAGTGGGACGTGTTGTCCTTTTTAGGGAGGGAATGCCGTTAGGAGGGGGGCATTCTGGATTTCAGTGTTTTTTGGTTGCTACATTGTAGCTTAGGAGAGTTCCCCACCCTCTCGAATTGGTGGGTTGATTATCTTGTTTTTTCTGTATCGCCTTCGGGCTTGCTTTTGGGAATTTAATCAAAGAGCTTGGTGAGGAGATACCTCACAGAAACATAGGTAATTCAGCTTTACGTAGAGCTTAATGAGGAATTCTTTAGAATTCAGTATTCTTGCAAATGACATCCAAGACCAAGAAGCAGCCGAAGCACCATGCTAAAGAAGATGACAGAAAAGCTCTTCTAAGTGGTATGAAGGGATCCAGATTTTAGTGACGGAGAGTGAAATTTGTGCCAAGAAGAAAGAGCCCTAAAAATGAGATTATCCAAAAGCTTAAAATATTTCTCAAGTATCCTATCATCTGATAGATCTGTCCTTGAAAAACTAGGATTCCTCTTCCATGCTAAACCTTGCTGGAAAAATAGCCTTAATTGCAACAATTGAAGAACCCTAGCTTTTGTTTTGAACAAATTGTTAGGAATATATTGAAAAGATTAATTTAAACCTAACTGGCTAGCTTATGTTTTTTGGGTCTCGTGGTGATTTAACATAGTATCAAGAGAACATCGATGTTATTTACTTTTTATTTCATTTCATTTCAGAACACGACTATATGTTGATCCAAGCTCATACACGAAGGAAAGTGTTATAAATATAGTGGGAAGGCCCTAACTTACTTAGCTTAAGCTTTTGTGTCCAATGGTAACTTAACACATTATCATAAAGGAGTTGCTTTATATTGGCAGACAGCCAAACAGTTTTTTATTTTTATTTTTATTTTTATGAGAAACACAAGAAAATATATTCAAAAACACCCTCGAAAGAGGGATGGGAAGAAACAGCCTAAGGGCGGAGGGTAGAGATAACCCTCCCCCAAGAAGAACTATACAATCACGGAAACTAGTTTGATCCAAACTCATTCAAAAGCTCAGTCCAGCATTTGGAAGTAAAGCTGCAATTGAAGAAAAGATGTTACTACCCGAGATTTTGATGGCATTGAACACACCAGTTGGAAGACAAACATCTTTATGGATTATTTTATTTTCGAACTCTAACTTTTGTGTTAAGTTTCACGAGGGACCGCTCAAAATTTTATCATCTTAAGGTATTTTGTTTTTCAGAGGCTCGTAAGACAGGAGCTCTAGAAATCAACTGGTTAAAGGACGTAGTAGATTGACCTAGGCTGCTTAAATTCCACATAATCATATACTGACCAGTTGTCTGGCAATGATTGTTCAGATCTCCAAATTAATTTGCCACTGTACCTCATTCTCAGCTAGATATCTTATAAAAAGAAGGTTCAACCCACTGATGCTCAGAATTGTTCAATAATCTTTGTAAAATATCTGCCGTTGTCTTTTTGGTTTTATATTCCTTTCAAAAGGTAACTTGTTCCTCTAATAAAGGAATGTTGTGATCGACGGTTTCATAAACTAAAGCTTCGTCTGTCGTAAAATGGAGTTCGGCAGTAGATTTTACCTTACTTTGGACAGGTAGAAGCATGTACACCAGTCTGTCATAATTTGCCTCTCCGTTCAGCATCCATCTATAGAGGCCAGTTGAAGAACATCCTGCGTTGACCAGATACTACGGATGAGGTGTCATGTTCAAACGTTGAACTGTTCTATATTCTACGTTTTAGAATTTGTACAAAACATGAGAAAATA